GTGTAGGTGTTGCTCAGTCAACTTTTTTTAGGTTATTCTGAGGACATTGTTCCTTATGTAGCTGTAGGCTCAGTGTCTGTGGGAAGAAGGGAGTTTGAGATCTTCCTACGTCCCCATCTCGAATCAAATCCCTACCCTAGGCTGTTTCTTGAGAGAGGAATTGTATGCAGGTCTGATTTTTTTCCCTTAAAATACATACGCAAGTGTTTTGCTTGTAGTACATGCAAATGAAGATTGAATATATAAATAATGGAATATGCGCAAATCCATCAGTGCTGGGAGAGAGGGCATTGATTGGCTCATGATATTGTTACTGAGCCGTAGTCCTTCTCCCCTTTTTAACAGAGTGGCTGGAGTTTAACTAGGAAAAGAGACACATAGCTAAAGATGACCTAGTCCAGTGTCGCACAGGCCATGTGACTCCGTTCAGGAGAAGAACAAAAGTAACATGGGCCGCTTGCATGTGGTTCTCTTAAAAGGGGTGACTGTGTCTTCCTCTTACCCCTTTCTCCCTACTTGATCATTTGGATACAAATGGTGGCAAGAGTTGAAGCAGCTCCACCTTGGACCATAAGAAAGAACCCAGTTTCGAGGATGGCAGAGCAGCAAAATGGGAACTGGTTGAGGAATCCCAGACTGCTTATGCTCTGTTAAGAAAAGAATAAACTTCTACCTTATCTAAGCTCTATCTGGGTTTTTGTTACAGCAGAACTTGCACCTGAACTAAGGTATAAGTATTGATGGGAACGGCAGTGTCTTAGCCCTAACAACGTGCATTACATAACCGGAACAACTGTTTACGGGGTAGCTCCCAACAATCCAGAAGGCAAGGTATCTTGATAAAAAGGCAGCATGGTATCCTGGAAAAAAAATTAAGCCTGTTTCTTCAGCCTCACCTCTCCCATTTACCGATAGGAAAAGTTTGCAGAAGTCTTACCATTGCTAAGTTTCTGTTGATCTACAGTTAAAGGGTTGTTGGGTGGAAATACTTGGAGAGTACAATACAGGTTATAAACAGATTATTACTCCATCTAGTTTACAAAGTAACTTGAGGCTTACCAGGGCTAGCCTAATCACTCCAACGATTCCCCTTCATGATTTAAGACTGTGAAGAGAATGATCTAAGCCACTTGGAAGATTGTTTCCAGCCTAGCAGCTAATACTTGAAGGTGAAGAATGACCGGTCAGACAACACTGGCTCTACGTGAAGATTGTAAATAATATGAAGAGAACGTAAAATTTATTATTCTATCATAACACTGGACAGTTTGTCCCCAAACTTCTACACTGAAATGATGTGTCTCAACCTACTCCCCAGTGGGTATTTGGCAAGAATGAAGGGACCCCCTGGCACTGTGCCTTCCCCCACCCCTCTTCACATGTGGGCCTGGATGCCACCCGAGTGTGGAAGCTTGCTCCCAAGAGAATAAAGGAAATAACGAGTTTCTTAATGGGTGGCCAGAAAGGTGAGGCACAATTTATGGCAGTCTGCCCCCAAACAGCCAGCCTGCGTCTCAGTGTCTCAGATGAAGCTGGGGCCCAGAGTCCGAAAGCTGCCCATAGGCCCCTCTCAGCTTCTCCAAACCCTCTAGAATGAATCTAGGCAGAGCAGTCATGCTCTTCCTCTTTGGGGTTAAACAAAGCTGGCTACAAACCAAAAGAAAAACCTAAAAAAACAAAATCTTCCAACCAATCGCCAATTAACTAATTTCAGAGCAACGAGGGCATAGTCCTATCTCAACAACAACCCCCCCAAAATCCAAATTTTCCCCCGGGAATAAAAAATAAGCCCGAATGGTCAATAGAGTCAAATCTCCCCAATGTGCAAAGCGTATTATTAATTAGAAGCTTTCCAAAATAGATGGTGTGAGTATACAGTAATGAGACAGAGTGGAGTATCTTGAGGGTAGCTCATCGACCGGATTCAAATTTCATGAAGGTGTAAGAAAATAATTTTCTCTCTACATCAAAAGTCTCCCTCAAAGCGTACAGGTGCCTGTGTCCTTTGAAAAACTGACACAATCAATAAAATAGAACTCTACGTTAACTTCAGTTGAAAGGGAATTCTCAGACCTCGATGTATAAAATACACCGTATATTATGCTTTTTAAGATTTAAATTACAAAACTGCAATGAAGCTGGAGAAAAAAATGACGCTGATGAAGTGCCACTAGGATGCCGGGTGCCGTTGACGCCCCTCAGCTCATCTGCTCCCTCCCACAACTCTGTGCATGAAGTATTCTCATTTCACAAGGGAACTGAGTCGAGACAGGAGCTTAATGTATGAAGACAAAATGATTCTTGTGAACGTTTTTAGCAAATCTAGGGCTTCAGGCTAAAAACTGTTGCCACTCGTGTTGTAAGGTGGCTTCCTCAGATGGTTGAAACCTTTTTTCATGATGTTCATTGCTTCCGTTAGACTGTAATCTCCTTGCAGGCAGGCAAAGAACTAAATATTTGATGGCTTTTGAACACGGACAGGCAAAAGCACACCAGACAGACTGGTTTTTCACTAAATGCGAAAAACAAAATGACTTTTAATAAGGTTGAAAGTGTGAAAACAGTTTTCACTTAAAATAACCTACGCTAGTGGTGCCTGGGTGGCCTGGGTCAGTTGAGCGTCCAACTCTTGATTTTGGCTCAGGTCGTGATCTCACAATTTGTGAGATCCAGCCTTCTGTCAGGCTCCATGCCTAGCACAGGGCCTGCTTGGGATTCTTGCTCTCCCTCTCCCGTTTCCCCACTCATTTGCCCGCATATGTACTTTCTCTCTCTCTCAAATAAAAAACACTATACTCCAAAAGAATATGAAAATATGCATTTATTACCAACAAAGCGTTTCCCACAGAGGTCTTTTTCCCCAGTGATACACACGCACGCACGCAGATACACACTATGGCAGGACAGAATTACATTTTTCACAGACTAAAGATTCATACTCCAAAGAAAACAAGCACGTGTCCAAAAGACAGTCAGAAAGCAAAAAATCTTTACTTTGAACACTAAAAATCTTTGAATAGAGACTCTCTCCTTAGGCAAATTAATGAGGATTTTCTCATTAAAAATACTTGTCACCTTCAGGTTTTGAATATTTTATTCATCAAATCAGACTTTCACTTGGCGTTTGTACAATTTGTATGTAATTAGAAATCAACCCTTGCAGAAAATATATGAAGTTTTAAGTGGCTGAGAATATAATGTGTTAGACTTATTCTCTTAATATGTTAAAATGATACATAATTTTTCATTTACAGTTCAAAATCCAATGTAAAACTAAATATTTGTCCAGTAGAGAAATATAAAATGCTTACAAACAAAGTATGGAATAATTACTGGCATATGTAAATTGCAATAAACTTGACCATTTGATTTGCAAACACAACTCCTCTTCAAGCTCTGCCTGCTCACGGGTCACCTGCCTGCAGAAGGAAGATGGTTGGCACTCAGACACAAAACACAGGACAGTAAGTGTGTATCAGTAAAGATATTTTGGTGGAAAGCAAAGTATTAAACAACAGAAACATTTGGGAGCACTGTCCCTTTAATAGGTTACCAAGTTTTTCAACGTTTACGTGAGTTGTTACACCAGTAAAAATGTTTTTTAAAATATTTTCATAATACATGCATTAGACTGAGAAGGCTCTTTTAAATTTTTTTCAAGAAAAAAATACCTTTTTAAAGAGAAAATGTCCAAGTGAGAGGATAGATTTGCAGTTCATTATTTTTTGACCTAATAAGAATATAAATTTCCATGGCTATTGATGAATATACAAAGCCCAAACTGAATGCAATTCTGCAATTTATTCATGCTACCAAGTCAAAAAATAATTCTGTCATGACTGGCACGGATCCAATCCGTTGTTCAGAGAGACGTGTTCTTGGATTCGTCCATTATCTCACAAAATTTATCTTTTAAAAGAATAGAACTGTTTTGGCACTGTTAATTAGTGTAACTCAGAGATAAACAAATGATTCCCTAATTCTTCCCTGCTCAAAGAAAATAGTTCAAACTAGATTTTCTAGGACAGTGGGGTAGGATCAACATGGTAAGGAAGGACCTCAAAGCTTAAGTTCTAGAAACAGTATGTTTTGAAACAAATCAATGCTTTCCCTCACTCTTGACATAACACTGAGAAATTTCAAATATAAACTGTAGAAACCAGTATATGAAATCTTAAGAAAAAACCCTTCTAAAAATAATTATAAAAATGCTTTTAGAAATTGAAGATGTAAAATACAGTTGACTTTAAATTAAAAAAAACAAACCAAACCCACCCCACACACACTTTACAGGGTTTTTCTTTAAAAACTTGATTTTCTTCTGTCAATCTTTTGCTGCATGTTGCATCATCTAGTGGCCACCTTGTGGCATTTCAAACAAGTCCTACCGTTTTTGAAGCCCAGCATGTTTTTCCCTTGAGATACCAATACAATTAGAGTGTCAAGTTTCATAAAGTTTTTTTTAAAGGCCCATAAAATCACATTTCCTAGTGGAGATAAGGTAATCCTTTTTAATAGGAAGAAATGAATAGACTTGTCATAAATTATTATACATTAGTCTAGACATTTCCGTATCAATTTTTAAAAAAATTAAATAGAACACTGGGAGCAAACTATGACTTGAGCTGCAGAGTCCTCTTTAGACTCTGACAGTAATTAAAGTTACTCTGGAATTCTAGCTGGAGGTTAGCAGGCCCACCACACTTCCCCCTGCACCTGTGATGTAACACAGTCAACACCTTTTATCGTGGGAACCCCGTGACATACGGCCAGAGGGCCAAGGACTCAAGTTCAACAAAAGCTGAAGACTAATTTCTACTACCGGATAATGTTCCACAGACAGAAGTTACTACGGTCTCCAATCATCAACCCGTTTGTGTTTAACAGGTTTCCAAAAATGACTGATCTCTTAGTCTTTAGTGAATCTCCTTTTATTCAAGCGAGCCACACTTAGAAACAGGATTTAACCAGAGAAATGTCACAGCTGTCGCCCTCTACTTTCACTGCGGTTGAGTGAACGTGATGCGCCGCCGCCGCCTCTGGAAAGCCTTTAGGTTCCACCTGTTAGGTTCCAACATATGAGGACCGTTGTAGACAAACAACACAGTCATCTTTTCAGAATAAGGAAGATTCTGCAGGAGCTGTGTTAAAACAAAGGGGCACATAATGCCGTATATTAAGCACGATTTACCGGCCTCACGTGGTGGGGTCAAGTCAAATGTTACTTTATTTCTAACATAAATGAAATACTTCTGAAGTTCTCAGTTCAACATAAATCCTGCCAGACTGTGATCCTTCCTTGAGCGAGCGCGCCTGAAGCCCGGCCTAATGAATCAACATGCCTTGTCAGTATTTCCCGGGCCAAATAAGATCCTACAGCTTCCTAGGTTGACCCTGGAAGTAAGTCCTTCAGAACATCCCTGGGATCCATTCTTTCACTCATTTATCCACAGACACTTCACAAGCAACTTGTACGGTCGTGGAAGATTGGTAGCCTGAAAAGTGTGTGACAGAGGGGTGGGTTTTTAAGGGCAGGGTGTTTGGTAGACAACAGAGCATTAACAGGTCTGGCTATTCCAGAGAGTATGTGCCAGACCCAGAAGACAGATTATACTCTTCAATAAAAGTGTGCATTTAAGATGGACTTGCCAATAAAATTTTTCATGCATACTTAGTTTTAAAAAGATCCAGTAACGTTAATAAACACAGCTTTGAGTTTACTGGTCTTACAATTCACCTACAGCACAAGATGTAACAAAAGACAATTTCCTGTTGTAATGGTTCTAGCTTACGGAAAATTCTCTGTAAGGATGATTCTGCTTTTATCGAAGTTAATGTGAGAAAAGAAGACGTTGGCTTAATTTGCGATTTCCTCTGGGTCAGGGCAGTGGTGCTGGTGAATGGTGACGGGCAGTGCATCCCTGGACGGGCCCTTCTGGGGACATGAGCATCTCAGGTCTGAGTGTGGAATCCCCTGCCGCTTGTAAAAAAGTGCTAACAGAGAACTTCTCTAGAGAAGGAGTAAGTGCCAAAACCAGGGAGGAAATCTTGGTTCTAGAACATAATTCTATGCCTCCTACGTTTCTTCTTGCAATAATAAGGTCCCTGATTAAGTATGTCACTGGAGGGGCGCCTGGGTGGCGCAGTTGGTTAAGCGTCCGACTTCGGCCAGGTCACGATCTCGCGGTCCGGGAGTTCGAGCCCCGCATCAGGCTCTGGGCTGATGGCTCAGAGCCTGGAGCCTGTTTCCGATTCTGTGTCTCCCTCTCTCTCTGCCCCTCCCCCGTTCATGCTTTGTCCCCCCAAAAAATAAATAAACGTTGAAAAAAAAAAAAGTATGTCACTGGAACTTGTCCCCTATAGTAATGTAAATACTACTGTAATCCTTGGAGTTCCTTTTGTGGGAGTATTTCTGCTCACCTTTATGTATTGGGCCATAAAATCTGCTACATGATGAAGCCACAGGGGACTTCGGAGTTACATGAGCTCTTTAAGATTACTGATTACCCACCTTTGGTGTAATAAAGAAGTACTGAGATGTATTTTCTTTACAAGCAGTATTTACAACCATTTCAAACACTCTCCGTTCATTGATCGGGTCCATTCCCTAAACAACAATGATACTGATTACATTTAGATCCACCACAAGATGCAATAAAACCCAGGTAAAGGAGTAAGCTCCACACCTGATTGATCTCATCAACTACTCTGAACGGACATCGATTGAGTTCCTGAAGGGCCATCAAGTACAACATAGTGGACACGCTTCTTTCACCCCCGCTCTGGTGGTGTGGAGTTAACTCATGCAGCTGCGTGCTGCTGCGGAACTTGACTCGAATCCGGATGCCGTACTTATCATAGTCCTCCTGTGAAACGTTCACATACTTGTTGGAAGGTTCCAGGTTTCTCGGGCACTTACATACTACTATTTGAAAAGAGACTGAATAAATCCATTAGAAGAGGAAAAGCCGTAAATTTAGTGACTGTAGTTTTATTTCAACAGATCTGCGAAGATGCCTAAAGGCCTGTAGACGGCAACTAGTTCTTTGATACTTTGTTGTTGCAGTTTATTTGTAAATAAAAAAAAAAAAAA